TCAGATGAAGATAATGGAGCCGACAAAGACGAAGCGAAAGGATCGGAGAACGAAGGTAACGATAAGACTGAGTAATGATCTAGCGTTACTTACTGTCCTTCTAGCAAATGAAGATGGGCAGCCAAAACGTAAGAAGACCTTACTGCATAAGACAAGTTCAGTATTTATGAGAAATGTGCCGGCTACGATCAAAATCGCCGATCTTGAAGCAGTAAGTTGAATATATTTTTGTAAATATTCCACTCAAATTGTTCCTTTTTTTCCAGATTTGCAGTCGCAGTCCAGGATTTTTGCGTGTAGCTCTTAGTGAACCGCATGCCGATCGCAATTTCTCAAGACGTGCTTGGGCCACCTATAAGAGAGATGTGAACATCAAGGAAATCTGCTGGACTCTCAATCAGACCAAGGTTTCATTTGCTGGCTTTACATTTGCAAAATTTTCGGAAAAACTTCATGTTTCAGCTCAACGATTCCACCGATCTCAGCGTAATCTTGAATCGTGATCTTACTCGACGCATTCGCGGTATCAGTGGCGTATCTTGCCATCAACAAGTGGCTCAAAATGATATCAAAATGGCAGCTAAGGTAAAAAGGGCACTAAACACCCTACTGTTTACATGCAATAGAAAAACTATGCGTTTTTTAGCTCGTCGCTCTCATGGACAAGAAAGTTGGTCTTTTCTGCGAAGATGAGCCCAAGGAGGAACGAGATAAAGATATATTCACGGGGGTTGACCTCGTAACAACATCCAAAAATCCACTACTCAAGCAGGTTGGGGATGAGAACAAAAGAATTGAATTGAAGGAGAAGGGAAAAGAAGGAATGCTTGTGATTGAGAAGGCTAAAGGAAAACGGGGACATTGATGAAGACATAACTGAGAGAAGAAATGTATAACATGGTTACGCATTATATTTAGGTCCGACCAGTGCTTAGAGAATGCGACGAGCCAAGTGCTGAAGAGGAAGAAATGCTTGGTAGGTTACTAAATGAAGCTTGTTTTTTTCTAAATTCCGGTTCAATCAAGACACTGTGTGACCGAAAGAGTAGTGTAGTCTTTGTCATCTCAATTTATACACTTTAGTAATGGGATCAGATTATTTACAAGATAATCATACCATTGAATATAGTCCTAAAGTACTACCGCCTTTCTTTGCTTGTGTACAGCATTTTCTTCGCTGTCATGTGAATGCATGTACGTCTGGCTTGGTTGTTGGTTCCGCGAACGTTTGCCAAAAAGTTTTTGGATAAAATCTTCGCAGAGCACTTTCACTTATTTCCCATGCTGCATGCTAACTTGTGGCCCCTTTATCATAAAATGACGCAATTTTTTTGGAATACCTAATTTGTTTCAAATGGAAACGTAACGTGGTCCGTTTATGTGGATCGATCTTGTGAAATATTGCATTCGTGCGCTACTTTTTTGTAACAGATTGATACAAGTTGGTCTTATGATAATGTTTTGATTCAGTCGCGGCATCAACTATTCCAGCACATTTTTGTCGAACTAAAAAATTGCCCATGAAAAAGGAAAAGTTTGAAATTAAGACGAGCATGCTCAAAACTTTTGCTTACTCTTGCACTCGGCTAGCATGCTAAGGCCGATGTAGTGAACCAGCAGCTCTCTGCCTCTACGCGGCAGGTTCGGCTGGTTAACACATATCCCACCCGAACACCATGTCTGCCAAATTTGGTTTAGATTCCATTAATTCTTCTATCCTTTTTGATCAAATATAAAAAAATTTTCAAAGCAAAGCAGCGAAAAATCAACAAATC